GTTAGGAGGCTCGATAAAGCTCGTTTATTAAGTTAATGAACATCTAGAAGTATAGCTCGTTAATGCTTCTTTGTTTAAAGCTCGATAAGCAGTGAACAAACTGAACATGAATCAAACATGAACAGTCATTAATTTAAACGAACAAACATGAACACAAACAATAAAGCTCAAATCAAACACGAACCAAACTTGGACAAGTTGATAATAAATGAATTCAAACATGAACACTTACATACTCGGCTCGATTCATTTGCAGCCCTATTGATGAACACAACCTACCAGAAGCTAGGCCATGCATCACATGGACCTAGAACCTATGTTATAGAGATGGTATAATGTTTTAAAGAACACGGAGATATGATAACCCATCGTTAAATCTCAAGTCCTAGATTTAAGGAGTAGGTGTGATAGGATGCCGTTGTCAGGTCCCAAGTCCTGGATGAGAAAAGTGGAGGGTTGCGTTAGGTAGTTGACAGCCAGCGTAAAACTTGTCGAACAATAATGACATGAATCCTTTAAGAAATTGTGTTAATGCTAGGGCGTCCCCTGGAAGCGACGCGCTGTATGGCCTGAATACAGTGACAAGTGTGCAAGGGCCGCTGCACCGGCGCCCGGGTGCAGTGTTAAATAGGCAAGGGTTCCCACATCAAGGACGGATGTGGGCAAAGAAGCTAGTCCATGATACTAAAATTAGGATAGGAACTTGGAATATAGGTTCCCTTACAGGAAAATTAATGGAATTAATAGATATTATGATTCATAGGAAGTTAAATATTTTGTGCATTCAGGAAACTAAATGGGTTGGAGATAAGGCTAAGGAAATTGATAGTTTAGGATTTAAACTTTGGTATTCAGGTAGGAGTCATACTAGAAATGGTGTAGGTGTTATTATAGATAAGAGTTTAAAGGATAATGTTATAAAAATTAATAGGATTGGAGATAGAATTATAGCTTTAAAGATTATTGTTGATGATAAGATTGTTAATATTATAAGTGCTTATGCTCCTCAAGTAGGTTTGGATATGAGCTCTAAATTAAATTTTTGGAATGACTTAGAAGAATTAATACAAAATATACCTCTTGAAGAAAGAGTTTTTATTGGAGGAGATTTAAATGGACATGTTGGTAGAGAGGTAGATGATTTTAAAAGCATTCATGGTGGCCATGGATTTGGAACGACGAATGAAGGTGGCAAGACCATATTGGATTTTTATTTAGCTTATGATTTTTCAATTGTTAATACCTTATTTAAGAAAAGAAATGAGCATCTCATCACTTATAAAAATGGATATAATACAACCCAGATTGACTATTTTCTTATTAGAAAATCAAATCGTTTAGATTGCAAAGATTGTAAAGTTATTCCGAGTGAAAATTTATGTACCCAACATCGATTATTAGTTTTGGACTTTAAGATAAAGGGGCATAAAATAAAAAATAAAGTAAAACAATTTTCTAGGATTAAATGGGGGCATTTAAAGAATATTAACAAAAATATTTTTGGAAATAAGATTTTAGATCTTAAGATTTTGTCTGTGCATGAGGATGCTAATATTATGTGGGAAAAAGTGGCTACTGATATTAAGAATATTGCAAAAGATGTCCTTGGAGTATCAAAGGGAAAAGCTCCCAATAGTAAAAATAGTTGGTGGTGGAATCCTAATGTGCAAGAAAAAATTAAAAATAAGAAGCTTTGTTATAAAAATTGGTTTAATTCTAAAAATTCTAATAATTGAGAAATATATAAAGTGGCTCGTAAGGATGCTAAGAAAGCAATATGCGATGCAAAGGCATTAGCTTTTAGTGATTTATATAATAGATTAGATACTAAAGAGGGAGAAAGATATATGTATAAGTTAGCCAAACAAAGAGATAGGAGTAGTAAGGATTTAGTTCAAGTGAAGTGTATTAAAGATGAAGATCAAAAAATACTTTTCTTAGAAGATGATATTCAACAAAGGAATAAAGGTGATGCATAAGATTGTGCGAATTATAGAGGTATTAAGTTAATGTGTCATACTTTAAAACTATGGGAGCGAGTTTTGGAGCATAGGTTGCGGTGTGATACTAATGTTTCTCAAAATCAATTTGGATTCATGCCGGGTAGGTCGACTATGGAAGCCATACATTTATTAAGAGGTTTGATGGAGAAATATAGAGAAAATAAGGATGATCTACATATGATATTTATTGATTTAGAAAAAGCATATGATAAAGTTCCAAGAGAAGTGCTATGGAGAGTTCTTGAAAAGAAAGGAGTCAATAATGCTTATATTCAAATCATTAAAGATATGTATGCAGGAGCTATTACTTGTGTTCAAACACAAGGTGGATTGACCAAGTATTTTCCTATTTCGGTTGGGTTACATCAAGGATCAGCCTTAAGCCCATATCTTTTTGCTTTAGTCTTGGATGTTCTCACTAGACATTTGCAAGATGATGTACCTTGGTGTATGCTTTTTGTTGATGATATTCTTCTTGTTGATAAGACTAGAGAGGGAGTTGAAGGTAAACTTGAATTATGGAGGTCAACCTTAGAGTCTAAAGGTTTTCGCTTGAGTAGATCTAAAACGGAATATATGGAGTGTAATTTTAGTAGTAATAGGCCTAGTGAGGGGATTGTGACTTTGGGCGATCAAGTCATTAATAAGAGTACAAGTTTTAGATATCTTGGATCTATTGTTTTGAGTGATGGTGAAATAGATGGGGATATTATCAGCAGAATTCAAGTTGGATGGTTGAAGTGGAGGAATGCATCGGGCTTGTTATGTGATAGAAATGTACCCCTCAAACTTAAGGGAAAATTCTATACGATGGTAGTGAGGCCTGCAATGCTTTATGGTGCCGAATGTTGGCCTTTAAAAGAGAAGCATAATACTAAGTTAAGTGTGGCAGAGATGAGGATGCTCAGGTGGATGAGTGGCTTTACCCTTAGAGATAGGATACGAAATGAGCATATACGTGAAAAGGTTGGAGTAGCTCCAGTAGAAGATAAGATTAGAGAAAGGCGCCTTAGATGGTTTGGTCACATAAAACGGCGGCCTTGCGATGACCCGGTTAGGAGAGTAGAGGTATTAGATTTGACTTATGTTAAGAAAGGTAGGGGTAGACCTAAAAAGACTTGGTTAGAAAATATTAGGAATGACCTTTCTTTATTAGATTTAAACGAGAATTTGACTTTTAATAGGACACAATGGAGAAAAAGGATTCATGTAGCCGACCCCACGTAGTGGGATAAAGGCTTGATGTTGTTGTTGTTGTTGTTGTTGTGTGATAGGATGCTAATGAAGTGGAGGTTAATTTATTCCATAATCTTAGATCCTATTATAAGGGTCAAGCAATCTAGACTAGGGGAATGAGAGGGACTCTCTTACAAAGTCCCTACTCATGTTTAAGGTACTTAAATATTTTGAGAGATCTTAAAGATAGGCTCAATTCACCTTGAGGTGGGCCATGTTATGTTAAGGTCTAAAGGTTCAATGATATAGACACTTCACTTTAAGGTAAAATGTTACATCGGAGCTCTTAGGGGGGTTAGCCTAATACCAACCTAGCTACCAAGCAAACTTTGGATCATCTAAGACTATAGATTACTTAAGACAAGTCACTAGTTAGTTTAGAGCCTACTAAAACAAACTAGGGTGGACTATTAGACCAGCTAGGCTCACATAAGACAAGATAAGAAATTGAGTAACTACTCACTTATATAGTCTGATTACTAGAATATTCTTAAGAATCATGATGATAGTCCATTTAGGATCATTTAAGGGGAAACTATGGTTAGGCAGCAAGTCACTTGGTAACTCAGAATCATTTGAAAATGCATAGGGCAATCTCTTAGCTAGCCTGGTTGCTAAAGGAACCATTGGATCACTTAAAGCCAACCAGTCTAGATAAGATTCTACCGGGTAGTCACAAGAACTAACCTATATGGGGGTCACAAGCCCACCTTGGTGGATCATCCACAAGGGAGAATCAATACCAAGGCTACAGTTAACTATGTCAACATAAGTTAAATAATGGTCAACTTATGATTAAGCTAAAGTAGATCATGATAGAACTCACTGAACCACTTAATATAACTCGAAGTGGCCTAAACTCAGGGTCAGTAGGCAATTGAATAGCCCATGACCTAATGGTCAAATAAGTCCAACCCTAACCCTAGTTTAGGATTGGTCAACATTGGAGGTGTTAAACCTCCAAGGCCGCCAAATTGGGTTAAGTCCAATCTAGGGGCAACAAGGGGCCATTAAAAATTTATTTTATTATTTTATCAAATTTTTATATATTAAAATTTCTTAAGTGAGGGCTTTAAATGCTCATTATGGTCTAAAAGGTTTTAAACTTTAACCATAAGTTTGTTTGGTCTAGAAAATTTACACTATGACAAATCTAGGAGAAATAAATATTTAAAGCCATAAAAAAATTATTTAAATTAATTGAGGCACATTCAGCTTGTGCTCATACGAAGAGGCATTTTATTCAAAGCAAAAGTTAATCATTACATGCCTCAAAATATTTATTTATAGATTTCTCATATGTTAATTTGTAAATATGGTTAGGATAGAATGTAATTAATGTATGTTTAAATAAAGTTCAAAAAGATAAAATTAATTTCAATCCAAATTAAAACTCCATAATTCCATAATTCTTATCTGAAATAGCTAAACGGATTAACAATCCCATGATAAGGTTCCATAATACATAAAAACCCATCCTAGAGAATATGCATGTTGAACCACAACTCTCGTAGTAGATGCCACACGCATTTATTCATAGCTTCTATGATAAGGTCCCGATGGCTTTTTTACTGCTTTTTAAAGCAGCTTTTTAGTATAAAAATTTAATTTTTATACTAAAAATCTACTTTAGAAGCAGTAAAAAAACCGTACCTAATGAAATCTAAATCTTACATAGGGCAAAAGAAAATCATAATCTCTTAAGAAATTAAACTTAAAAACTTGTAATTGATATGAGACTCGTTTTCTTTATTGATGCAGAATATTCTACGGACCTGGTGGCCCTTACGCTTTATTTGCGGGTAGGGAATCTAGCCGAGCCTTGGCTCTCATGTCCTTTGACCAAAATGACCTCACTGGCAACCTTGAAGGCCTCAGTGCTTCTGAACTGGAAGTCTTGCAAGATTGGGAAGAAAAATTCATGGAGAAATATGTTAAGGTTGGACACCTCGTTTCTGAAAGGACAAGAACAACAGATAACAATCAAAAGAATGAGAAGCTTGAAGCACTGCAGGAGCCGAGGACTGAGATAGATAACCAAGTTGAAAACCTGGGAACTAAAGGAAATGAAAGAGACTCTAGATCAGTAATCTGGGCTTAGATTTTGTATGGGCGTTCTGATGTTCTTATAAGGCTTGAGTTGCTATGTTTCTCTCTAGTGCTGCTGCATGTAAGCTGTTACATTAATCTATGTTATTCTAGATTTTATGGTACCCCATAACATTTCCCTCAGCCATTCCCTTAATTTAGTGTTGGATTTGTAAGTTCTTATGTATTACACTGTCTCAATTAGTAGCATTGAAATGATTTTTGTCTTGGCTAGTTGCTATCTTAGACATTTTGAAATCCTTTCAAGCTCTAATTAGTTTGTAATTGTGAAATTTTCAAAGTTTTCCTGTTGCTGCGTTGTGCTGTTTAGCGTGGGTCAATATTTTTTTTTAATATTTATTTTATTCAGCAAAAAAAGTAAGATGCAATCAAGTCCAACAAAGGACAGTACAATACAAACAAGTTAAAAGACAGCCTTAAAGAAAAAATAGCAAAATAGAGAACACAATGACATCGGGTTCAAGTAATGGCGAACATTATCTAACCACCAAACGGTAGGTAGGGGCCTTCTAGAGGAGGAGGTAAGCATCAGGTCACAAAGATGAAGTCCTAGAAAGGCTAAGCATAGCCACGTCCCAAATAACAACCACTAAGCAGACTCATCAATGATTGCCAACAAGCCAAACCGTCCAGGTGGAAAGCAGAACCGCCTCATCATTGCCCAATTACCCCCAGCACCAACATCCAAACCAACGAAAACCAAAACCGACAGAAAACCGAAATGCCAAAATTTATGCCAAACCAACATAAAGGAAAGCCAATGCCCAACGCAACACTATTTGTTTCTTATTAGTAGTAACAGAGCATGCCAATAAATGTGAAACCCAATTGCCTACAATCAGCCTACTCTGTACAGCAAATGTCAATCAGATTTCCATTCTTGGTTCTGTTATGTCTAATCCAACTTTGTACATTCAGCTCAAGGATTGGTATATTTTAATGCAGACATAAGTGCATGCGAACAGCATTCTTTAATTCCTCATTTATTTATTCCCTTTTTCATCCCTATTCTCCTTTCTTTGCTCATTGAAATCTTATTATCTTCTACCTCTACTCACATGCAGCACTAATTGCAGAACCAATAATTCTAGCCCTCTCATTACTCCTTTTACTCCATTCTCACTCTTTTGGAAAAAGTTTTTTCCAGTAGGTAATGAAGAAGTGGTGGGCTAATTTAAGGAGAGAGTAGAGGGGCAATAGAGTGGGACATGACTCATCTTGAATTTCCTTTCTAGATGGATTCAAAGCTAAAGAAGTCATACTATGAGAAGGCCACAAAAGAGTTATGCTCCTGTGACTTTTTTTTCTTTTAATTTAAGTGTCAAAATCTGGAATAATTATTACGTCCGGACAAAAAATCAGAAATCCGGATGTATACCGAGTGCTCGGTACCGAGCTCCAGGTGACGTGGCGCGTGGTTACTGGTCTCTAGATGCGTCCGGTCGCGTCCGATGACCGGACGTAATAATTGCTCCAAAATCTGATACATGTAAATTTCGATTTCAAAATTTTAGCAATAACGTTTCTTATTTCCAAAAAAAATTGGCATCGACCGTATAAAAAGTTCAAATTTTAGTGAAATTATTATGTGCGGATAAATACGCTGTTCGGAGGCGAATTAGAATGTTTCATATCACCTGTTTGATGTGTACCGAGTGACGTAGCGTATTCTGATTCGACTTCGGATGATCCGGTGCCCGTACAAAATAATTTCATAAAGGAAAAAGCTTATAAAGGGTCACATTCCATGAAAATGACCTCCACATTGGAAGAAAAAACAAAAACAAGTTTGTTGATGAAGAAACATGTGATGACCTTACAAAAAATGATATGGAAATCTTAAGATTCCATTTCCACTAATCACCAAGTAAAAGTTTCTGCTGCACCACCTCTTCAAAGGCGAGGAGGATGTATCTGATTCTCTTAAGAAAGCTTTCCAATCTCAAAGAGTTTCATAAGCTCCAGCAAGAATTTCGCTGCTTATGATTGTCATCACATCCATTGCCTTTCTGACTTTTGAAAAGACCGGCACTTAGAAAGAATTGCAAAGCCTAGTTGGCAGATAGCAACACCACAACCATAATATCGCAGGAGATGTGCACTTTCTATTTAAAAAAAATTATTGCAAAAAGTTTATGGTATAGGTAATGACAATAATTTTAGGCTTCATTTGGGGAGAAATTATTCTGTGCCGAACATAGTTTACTATCCGGAGACTAATCAGAACGCGCCACGTCAGCAGTACCGAGTGCAGTACTGAGCATGGTATTGAGTCGCGGTACATAATGGTGGCGACGTGGCACATTCTGGTTGGTCTTTAGACGGCGTCCACCCAGAATAATTTCCCTCATTTGGGACGGCTTTCTTACAGCTTTATAAAGCTACTTTTTAATAAAAAAAATTCTTAAAATTTGGAAAAAAATAATGATTTAAAATTGTCCAAACCTTCACTTATATTTAGCACAATCCTAATGTTTGCATTGCTTTATGTATCAAATTTCTTGAATGAGTTTCTCTATTTCAGTTGAAGAGAGAGAGAGAGAGAGAGAGAGAGAAATATTAATTTATCCTTATATGATTGCTGTAGAATCTCCTTCTGCACCAACTGACTAATGGAGTATTGGTCACAGTTCTAAATGTCATCCATGACGCAACAATAAGCCAATTTTAGGTATATTAATAGAGAAAATTTTGACTGTTTAGTATGGAAATTATCCCCATAAAGAATTCTCTGCTTGGAAATCAGAAGCTAAAGCAGAACAGAACTCTTCAAAAAGGAATAATAAGAAGAAGACTCGGCGTTCAACATTCATGACAGCAGTACTAAAGAGTTTCCCAAGTCTGAAGTCTACAATAACGACTAGAACAAATAATTGCAATCTTATAATCATAAGTTGTTCAACAGCATTGAATTTTTTAGATGTTCTGTCTTGTAATTTCTTTGACTTAGGGGGTTTAATTACATTAATGAACACTGAATTATTTTTTTCTAATTTGCCAATTTCCAAGTCTGTATTAATAGCCCAATTTCAGTGATGAAAAGAGTATTTGAAGTTAAATTTACTTCAAATATTTAGGAATCTGACAAATTACAAACAATTATTAGGTCCGGACACCGGATGTAGCTCTACATCCGGAGGCCAATAACATGTCACCACGTGCTCTTACTCTTTACCGTACGACTCGATGACCCGACCCGGACCGGAACCCAGTATTGATATGTTCGCGTATTGCTAGATATTGCTCGATATTGCTTGACAATAACAAGAAATACCGCTCTATCAAAACCAATACCTAGCAAAACCGGGGTATTGCTCGGTATTGCTCGGTATTGCTAGGTATTGGTCTTTACATAATGATATTTCTCGTTATTATCGAGGAATATCGAGTAATACCCCCGTCTGCACAAATCAGCCAATACATAGCAATCCCGAGTCCGGTCCGGGTCGGGTCGTTGGGCCGCACGGTAAAGAGTAAGGGCACGTGGCACCATTTTACTGGTGTCCAAACGTAGAGCTACGTCAGGACACCGGTCCAAATAAAAATTCGACAAATTACAACAACAATAATAACATAAAATATTTAGGGTCATTATGTGGGGCCGGCAGGATTCAGTTGTCAACCTCATGTAGTGGGATAAAAATTTGATGTTGTTGTTGTTGTTGTAATTTGTTAATTTTTTAAGAATTTGAAAGAACTTTCAGCTTGAGATTTTTTATTCATTGTTGAAATTAGGTTATTAATACATTTTTTTAAATGATTTAAACCAGCTGGTTTGGTGATGTATAAAGCATGAGGTTTACTAAAATTTCTTGAAAGAATGACGTTTTTTTGTCTTATGTTTATCTACTTTAGCTGATAAGATTTTATTGAAATTGTTAGGTGGAGACATTTTTTTTATTTTTTATTTTATGATACATTTTATTTTGCTCTATTTAAAATATATTATGATATAACTGTTGCATGTTTAAGTTAGTAGAATTTGAGATTTATGAAAAATTTGAACTTTCCAAATTAATATTGTTGGAGATTTAAATTAAATGATAATATCTAAATTGGCTAATGATAATAATAGTTTAAGAGTTAAATTATGGTTATACCTTGAAATTAATGTCCATAAATAAATGTTTTATTATAATCAAAGGAGCAATCAACTGAAATAACATCTAAAAGAATATAAAAGCTAAATTTAATTTTTTTAAAAACAAATACTAGCCAATTAAACTCTATTAATATAGAGTTGAAGACCTTTAATTGTGAAAAAATAAAACAAATTAATTCTGATCATTCTATTAAGTGAAAATAAAATATAAATTAGTTATAAATTGATATTTATAAATAAATATGATAAAAAAATCAGTATATTTTGTAAGAAAATCATGTGTTAGATTTTGATTTATAACGTTAATTCTGAAAATAAAATAAAAAAATATTTATTGTTTGAGTTAGAGAGCTCTTTTCTTACAAAATAAATATTTTTTTAATTGACTATTTTATATTCAAATAAATACGAATATTTATTTTTTTGTTTAATATTTAATGTTAAAATTAAAAAATTTTGACAATAATATCTATACTATTATGATGTATATGATTTTAGTTGATTTCGCTAGTTATTGTTTATATTGATGATTTATAGAAGCTCTATATATTCTTAAAATAATAAATAAATAATTCTTCGAATTTTGATTATGGGACGTTACCCAATCAGTTGCCCCTTTACTCCCAATCAGTGTACTTTATATAACTCCCCTTAAATCACATGAATCAGTCACCCCGACTCCTCATAACTCTCAATCAATTTCAGCCCCTTCTAATTCCCATCCACTGACTCCCTTTAGTAGATCATGCTGATCTTGATGATATCACATAAGATTATCATATCATATACCCGATATCATGTAATATATTATTTTTTTTGTGAGCACAGTATCAATACAATACATCATTTTAGTCAAATCAATATCACATCACCTCAACACATAATACATTTGAGATTATCATATTAAATCATAACACATCGCTTTTCAACCTATTTTCAATATACTTTTTCCTACTCATTTCACAGAGAAATTTTTATACATGTATTTAACCGATGAAAATGCAATAAAAACAAATCATTTTATTTGAAATGATCAAATCTATAACATATCAAAATTTATGCCGTGAAAGCTTATAAAATTAGGATATAACATATTTTTGACAGATTTAATTGAGATATATTCGTACAAATCAAAATCCTCAAAAATAGAAGTAAGATAATAGTTACTTACAATGCTTAAAACAATTTCATTAAAGAAACAATGGACGAAAATGACCCGACAAACTTTCTCTCTCCTTTTTTCTCTTTCTCTTCTTCGAATCATTCTCGATCAAGCCTAACGAGAGTGAGGCAATAGGAGAGGAATCACAGGGATATATATATATATATATATATATATATATATATTATATTCAAAAGAATTATAAATATCTTTATTCTCATATAAAGCTTAAATAAGAAATGAAAATTTTAATACATAAATAACGTAAATAAGTTTTTTGGGGAATAATGTTTGTTTTTTTTTTTTTGGAAAAATTGGGGAATAATGTAAAAAAAGTTGCTGATAAATTTGTTTCTTTGTCCACTAGCTTCTCTCCGTCTGCCCACAGCCCACCCAATTTTAGCAGACTAAACGGCGTTAATCTCACATAGAGTCCTCTAGACAGAAACGACGGGAACCTAACGACACCGTTTGATTGCCCTTTTTACAGGATGGGTCGAAGTCTAAATTGCGAAGTAGAATATCAGAAAGCTCTCATAAAGAAGACCGCCAGGCGGAGAAGGAGCTAAGGCTCAGATTCCCATCCAAATCCCTACCTTTTCTTCACCGATCCCTTCTTCTCGAGCTTTCGTCTTCGACCTTCTTCTCCTCCTGAAGCTTGGCTGTCGAATAGATTCTTGAGCCGGCTCAGATCGACTGATTCTGAAGTTTTTCCGGTGAAATTTGAGGAATGGAAGTGAATTTCTGGCGATTGATGATGGTTTTTCTGTCTAAGATGTGATATCGGAAGAGGTGAGGTGCCAATTAAGGGTAAAATTTTTCTGATGTTTTGATTTCTAGTTCTGTGGATTTGAGGATCAGACTTTTTGGCATTTGGGGATTTTTGTTCTTCGTATTATCAAAAGCTTTCTCTTTGCAAGTCCAAAATCAAAGTTAAAAAAGAAAATTCTTTTTTTTTTCTTCATTTTCAATGTAAAATGCTCGGAAATGAAGGATCTTTATGCTCGGATTTGCTCTGATGTGTATAGGTGTTTATCTTATTTGTTTCAGATTGATTAATTGAACTGGCTTTTTGTTTTTTGGGCTTTCGCTAGAACTTTTTGTTCTCTTTAACCTGCTAATTTTAAGAATCTTCAAAATCAGGCAAATGACCACAAAAATGCAATCCTAGGAGATTTTGCATGCTCGCAGATTAATTTATTTTTTTCTTGTGATCCATAGCGTTCACTTTTTCAAGACCTGAAACAAGGATTTTTTTTTTGTTATTCAATATAAATATGTTTGGAAATGAAATTGCTTTGTACTTTTGGTTTTTCTCTGATGTGTAAGAGTTCATATTTTTCCTACTTGTTTCAGATTGCGTAATTGGACTGGCTTTCGGCTTCTGATCTTTCAGTAGTGCATTTGCTCATCTCTCTTTGACGTGTTAATTTGTAAGAAAGAAACCTCTACATCTCTATATATCAAATAAAACACTACTCCCACAGGATTCCAGTAATCCATTTCAACCACTGAAAGCTACAAATTTTACCTTTGAGACACAAAATGCAATCGAAATCCAAAATCCATGCTGACTCACCCTCCCATGAGGACCAATTCGATCGAATTCCTGACCCCCTTATCCTTCAAATTCTCAACAATGTTGCTGATATCCGTGCTCTGGGCCGCTGCGCGGTGGTTTCCAAAAGGTTCAACTCCCTTGTTCCCCTTGTCCATGATGTATATGTCAAGATCGATCGTGTTGTAACGGTGGATGGTGACTCCTCTGACGACCCTCTAAACCTCTCCTCCTCAAAGCCTCGAAACCTCTTCTCCCACCTCCTCAAGTTCTTGTTTCTTACCATCCTCAAACCATTCCACAATCTCCAAAACCCAGGAAGCTCAAACAAGCCCCTCCTCCCCCAGCTATCTCACCACTCCCCAGCCCAAGTCCTCAAGAACTTCACCCACGTTCGCAATCTCCGAATTGAGCTTCCTGCAGGTGATGTTGGCACCGAGGATGGTGTGGTCCTCAAATGGCGAGCTGAATTTGGCAGCACACTTGAGAATTGTGTGATACTTGGAGGAACAAGGATTGATCGTAAGCCAAATTTGAGTGATCAGGATTCTTCTTCTCCTTCAGGTGAGGACAATGGGAGCATACCAGAGTCATTTTATACGAACGGTGGGCTGAAATTGCGTGTTGTGTGGACGATCAGCTCACTGATTGCTGCTTCAACCAGGCATTACCTTCTAAAGCCAATAATTAAGGATCACCCTACACTGAGAAGCTTGGTTTTGACCGATGCCGACGGGCAGGGGACACTGAGCATGGGTGTGGAGCAGCTGAGGGAGTTCAGGGAGAAGCCATTGGCAGCTTCAGCATCAGCTAATAGAACACAGGTTCCTGCATCTAACATGAAGCTGAGGTATGCTTCATACCTCGAGCTGCCCGAGGGGATGGGGATGCAAGGAGCTACTTTGGTCGCAATCAGACCGTCTAGTGAGGGATTTGTTGGGGGTGGCAGTGGCTGTCATGGTAGTAGTCGGAAGGAGATCGAAGCCTTTGTGTGCAATGCGTTCGATGGACCTTTCAGGGCAGCTGTGAAGGCTCTATTGAAGCGCAAGACTTACTTGCTGGAGATGAATGGGTTCTAAATCTTCCAGTTAGCCAACTTCAACATAGTTTTTGCAGCTCAAAGATGCCTCTTTGATTTTCTTTTTGTTTTAGGATCAAAAAGGTGAGAGTTTGTAAGTTCCACATGAGAAATTATTTGGTGCGGAGACTGGACGTAGCTCTATGTCTGTACTCCAATCCATAGTCGACATGTATTTTTTGGATTAAGTAATTTTGTGCAGTCACGTAGGGTTTTTTACTAACGTGCAACCCGACGATCCGGCTCAATTAACTATGAATTGTCGGGCCGCCCGTTTGTAAAAAAATTCACGTTGTTGTATAAAGTAACTTAAACTAAAGAATATGTGTTGACTATGAATTAGAGTCTGGACATAACTCTACGTCCGGACTCCACACCAAATAATTTTTCGTTCCTCACAAAGTTGACCATCCTCTCTTTCTCTCTCTGCATTGAGCTGTATTAGTTGTTCTGAACTTTTTTCACTTGTATGTGTATAGTACAATAATAACAGTTGGTTAAATCTTTTGAGTGATATGAATGAATCATTAAATTTCTAGAGATGGGATGTGGTTGGCTTTCAATGCTTTACTTTGGCTGTTTCTGTAGAAACTGGAGCCATGTGAATTGCAATTCTTGTCTTTTATCTTTTGTGGGACTATCTAAAGAGCTTGTTTATCTTGATGAATCTCTACTTGAAAACTTCGTTTGATCTTCTTTTGTTGTCTTCTGTTCAGAGTTCAATCTGTTTTTATCTTTTGGATTTATGTTAGCATTGCTTCATATGAGTTCGAGTCATACATGAATATCTTAAGGTCTATTACAGGACTATCTTAAGATCTATTGGGGTATGCTGAACTGTTTGTCCCGATGGGGAGAGATTATTACATGCGAAGTCTGGACAAGAAAATTGTGAATGTGCACAGTAAAATTATAGTAAAAGCAAAATTAATTTGCACACTGCGTTTTTATTGTGTTTTTACTGTGCACTCACAGAATCCCAACACAATTCTGGTTGGGACTCCGTACGGAATAATCTCTCCCCCTAGGGAGAGCTCCCTTTCTCTTTCTCTGGTACCCGTATTCAAGCGCACTTGCTTCTAATTATCTTTGACTCACCTTCTAAAAAAAAAAATTCTATTCAATTGGATGTGAATCTTTTGTTAGAATTTTTTTTTTTTTAAAGTTAGTATGAGTATTATAAATATATATTTTTTGAAAGATTGGATAACAGTTTCTTACAGCTCTCATCTATTAGTAGATTTGATTGTAAAAAATAGTTTTCAATCACAAAATTTTTGTTAAAAGAAAGCAGTCAAAGAGAAGTATGATTGTGATCTGAAATGCTAAGCAGTTAGAAAGCCATCCTAAACAGGCTCTTCAATAGAATCTCTCTTATCTTTAAATAAAATGCATAGAATATTTTCAATTTTTTTATGTAGTTTATAAAAGTTTTCATTTATAAAAAGTTGAAAATAATTTTTTTTTTTTAATTTTCAACTCTAAATTATATAATTAGTCTCTTGCTTGATATCTTATCCATTAATTATTATTTAAGATCCAAAATAATAACAAATTATACAACAACCTCCTCTAATAATAATTTTAAAAAAAATGCTAACGGAAACTTTGGTCAATGATTAATCATATAATTAATTTCATTGAGAAATAATTGAAAGTTGTTAAGTTAATCACAAAAGATTATGATGCTTAATTAAACTAATTAAGAACAATTTTTCCCCAAATTGGGTGAAGTTGGTATAAGTTGGACTATCTAATCCAAATTTTAAAATAGGGTTTGTTGGGCCATTGAATGCATGTGGTCTGCTTAAATATAAAATAATATTCTATTGTGTTTAATTATTTTGATAATATTTTAATTAATATTAAAAACAACTAAGCACACCTGATTATGGACTTTTTTAAATGGTTGTTGAAGGCAATTATAGAGAAAAAAAAATCTATAAAAATTTATTAAAATATCATTTCAATTTGTTTATTTTAAAATGATTGATATATTAACAAAATCATAGTACTTTTCTTACTTTTTATGTAATTATGTGAAAAAATTTGAGTTAGTAGGATTGAAATAAACACATAACCTTAGGGTTTATTTCATTTGAAATTGTTCCACTAGTATCGTTTTGGATTACGGAGCGTCGATCTCCCTCCTAGTTGATAAAGACAAGAATATAATGTAAAAAATTTGAACTATAAGGGATGACTAATTTTGTGGTTGTAGTAGAAAGAGTTTGATTAACTCTAACTCATGATGAACTCAGCTTGATTTTGAGTTTATCCTAAGTAGCTCAAAATTGGATCGAAATGGCTCTCATTTCGGAGAGATTATTACTTGCGGAGTCCGGATGCAGAGAATCGTTCGGTTTTGTGACTGTGAGCAGCAAAATCACAATTAATTTTCATTACTGCGCTTTTACTATTCACTACTACGCTTTTACTGTTGCGCGCAATTAATGTTCACCACTGCGCTTTTACTATTCACTACTGTGTTTTTACTGTTCACAGTTATAAAATCGAACGGTTCTCTGTGTCTAAACGCCGCACGTAATAATCTCTCCTCATTTTGTGGTTGTGCTAAAAAGAGTTTGATTAACTCAACTCGCGATGAACTTGAGTTGATTTTGAGGTTATCCTTAATAGTTCGAAATTGGATCTAAAATAACTTCGAATGAGTATTTTTATAAAAGCTGAAACTAAAATATTTGATTATATGAAGAGCAAGAAATGCTAATTAATGACATTTTTCAAATATGGTACCATACATTTAGTTCAAACTTGAATGACTTAAGGTGATTAATGTACTCCTCCTTAAGGAGAAAAGACCTTACAACCAAAATGACAGGGGACAACAAGTGTCCTAAACGGCATTCAAAGCACAATTTTTTTTTTTTTCCACAGCTTTTTGCAATTAAATCCATAAGAAAATACCATTGGCATGAGATTCCTGATTTCCAAACATTTTTTTTTTTTTTTAATTCCACAATATCTCTTCAAGTTTTCAAAGGTTTGTTATGTAATAATGTTAAAGATTCTACTAAGTATGAAAATATTGACACCATTTATTTTTTTATAAAGGCTGTTTATTTTTTATAAAGGCCTTAATTCAGCATGTACAGAACTTTTTTTGGGACATTTTGATCAATTAAAATAAATTTATACATACATCATGTATACAAGACTCGAATTCGAGACCTCTTGGTTGTTAGCAAAAACTCTCAACCAACAAATCAATGTGAGCTACGTATAGGAATTGAACTCACTCTTCCTGCAAAGTGTAAGGGTGTAAATACTTGACATGACCCGAAAATCTGACTCTAACCTGACCAAAAAAATTCGGATTAAGGTCAACCCGTTTGAGAAATAGGTCAAGTTTGTATTTAAGATTTCGACCCATTTATAAATCGGATTGGGTTCAAGTTGACCCAAAAACCCTAAACCAACCCGGGTTGACCCGCATCAATCATCTTGTCAAGTCCAAGTTGTCCAACCGCATGACTCGTGAGTGCAATGACAATGAGTGCGACGGACCCTGAGGCCCCTGACCGTTAGACCCGAGTCAAGCCGGCGTTGCGTCCTTTAACAATTCGATGTTACTCGCCGCCCCGCGACTCCATCGTCCGCAGTCGCCTCCTTTGACAGTTCGATGTTACTCAGCGTCCCACGACCTTGCCGTCCGCAGCCGCCTCCTTCGACAGTTTGACGTCACTCGCCATCCCGCCATCTGCAGACGCCTCCTTCCCCTTGTTCGGCTTCGACACGTTGACGAATGAGAGGCTGCCCTTCCTCCCATTCATGCCTCGTGACTTTGCGTGTCTTCGGCCATAATCATGTCAGGTCGGTCAACCCGGAAGCCCGACTGGTCCGATCCGGGTTGAATTTTATGACCCATTTACAAAAATGATTCACCCCTAGAAAATTATACAAAAAATTCATCTGCAGAACAAACAAATAAAATTGCATATGTTATCCTCCATGTAGTAATTAAAATCTTCTACAAAGTTCTCATTACAAAAATTCTAAATGTCATCAAATTTATTTTTAGAAAAATATAATTATTAATTGATTCATTCATTCATAAATTATATTTATATCAAATTATGTAATAACTGTAAAAATTTGACTCAATTTTTTTTTATTATTATTACAAAGTCAAGTAGCCTGAGACATTACAAAAACAACAAATCTTCTCTGAAAGAATATCACAGCAGAAGAAATATTAACTCCAGAAGTGTGGTAGTGGACACTGGACAATGGGAGGAGTAGGTAGGTACATAGAGCACAAACGTTGGCAGGTAGAAGCATCGGCATGTGCTTTGTCTTATCAACTCCTTTTTTTTTTTTAATGTTTTTCATCTACCCGTTGCCACTCTAAAAAGAACAGTTTAACTAATTTCTCGGCGAAATTTAGTGAGGCCACCCAACAGCATCGGGCACACACTTGCTTTACCCTGCTTCAGAGGGGCAGCGCAGCCATAGCAGGGGGGATTCGAACTCGTGATGGAGGTTCTCAAACGTGCTCGCCCACCAACCACCCTAAACCTTGATGGTTGTTTTATCACCTTCTGAAAATATAATACTTTTTCCCAAAATAAAAAATAAAAATACCTATAAGGCTTTTTAATTATTATTTGAGGGATTTTGGATAGGGTTGCAACCCGATTGAGCAGTTGAGTAGGTATTTATTCATATTTGAGTCTTTTTATTATCAATTTGAGTTCGATTCGAACTTTTTTTACGTGTTAAAGTTTGATTTGCATAAAATGATAGAAGTTCATATTTGATTTATATTCAGTTCATTTTGAGCTTATCGAGCTTTAAACAAACACGCCTTATTGTGCTATTAAAGAGCTTTATGTTCTAAATGCTTATTAGCTTAACAAACGAGCACTTCGAGCCTACTAATAACAAACAATTATCATAAGGCTTGTTCATGAACTAAAAATTATGTAGAAATAGCTATCAGTTGTGAGCAAAGGTAGGGGTGTCAATTTCGGGTCATGGGTCGAGTTCGGGTCGGGTTGGAACTGACCCGGGTTCAAACTGGTTGACCCTAACCCGACCCGTTTAGGTAAACGGGTCGGAAATGCTAACCCGGACCCGACCCGGCGGGTTACCGAGTTGACCCGACCCTACCCGGGAAAGCTGGTCGCGCGGGGCGAGTGCTCGGGGCGAAGTGCGCAGGGCGGGGTCGCACGGGTGCGGGGTGCGGTCGTGCGGGGGCGGGGTGAGTGCTCGGGGTGGGGTACGATCGTGTGGGGTGGGGTTGCGCGGGTGCGGTCGGGACTGGGCGGGTGCGCGTCGCGTAGGACGGGGGTCGCGGGCAAGTCGGGCGGGGCAAGGGCAGGAGGGCGGCGTGCGCGGTCACCGCGCAAGCGAGCGCGGCAGCAGCGGCAGGCGTGCTGGCAGGGGGCAGGGCAGCGCGGGCGGGCAGGTCTGCGGGCAGGTCTGCGGGCAGGGGTTCAAACGGGTTTCCGGGTTGACCCGTCGGGTCAACTCGAACCTGACCCGTTTTTTCAAACGGGTCGAATCCGGGAACCCGAACCCGACCCGTTTTGGAAAAACGGGTCGTGTCTAACCCAAAAATTCCGGGTCGAGTTTTCGCGTCATGTCAAATATTTACACCCCTACTTATAAACAAGCTTGTTCACAATCTCTAAATCGATAATGAATTAAGCTTCTTAACGAGCTTTGAATTCGAGGCTTATTCATTGAGTTTTAAACGATGCTGTTTGTTCATGAATATAAACAAGTCAAATAAATAATTGTTCAAGCATGTTTATTTAACCATTGAGTATTTAAAGAAATGTTCAAACTATTTGATTACTTAGTCAAACGATCACGGATAAATCATAATTGAGTGGGAATCAATTTGTTTGCAGCTCTGATTTTGAATGTATGCATTTTATTTAAATATACTTTTTAAAATTTTTAAGTATTTAATTAAGAGTAAAATAAATTAAAATATTTTTTTGATGATTTTGAAACTAACATCATACTTAAACATGATAACCTACTAATTTTTAATAATTTATAATATGATTTTATAATTATAAGAAATAATTATGAAATAAAAAATATAATAAAATTCTTGATTGTTGGATGAAGTATGCACACATACCTAACCTTTAAATCCATATTTCAACTGCTCAACCAATCAAAAGACTAAAGAAATTTGTAGAAATAAATGCCAATGGATTACTAATAATTGTGCCATTATATTATTCAAATTGGTGCATTAAGATTTTTTTTTTTTAATAATGTGATAAACCAGTACATTATTTCTATTTGTGATAGTAAATAAATAATTTTTAATCGAATAATAGATAAAAAAATATTTCAATTTAATTAAATACCCAAACTTGGTGCCTAAGAGTTTATGCCTAAACATCATTGAATCTTATCTATTAAATTGATTTTCAATAAAGATTTATTGACTTGTTGGAGATTAGAATTGCAATTTATTTATTTTTTTTTAATTGAATAATACTTTATTAGAAGAGCATTTATATATTGATTATAAAAGAGAGTAATATTAAAAAAATAAGTAAAAATATTCCTAATGATGAACATATATTATAAATTTGTAATATAAATATTAGATATTTATTTTAATATTTATATAAAGCCATCTTCAACAATATATCAATAAAGCTCTCTTGATAGATCCTCAAAATCATGATCATTATCTTTGAAAGCTTGAAAAACTTGAAGCACATGGCTAGATTGATCTGATGTAACTTAAATAATGGCTAGGTTAGAAATTTTGTTTGGCTAAAGCTTATTGAATTTGGTTGGGTGGGATCAATTGGGTTTGGAATCTAAACAAATCTAAATCTAATTATGATTAGATTAATTTGTTTTATATCATTTTAGTGAAGGAATTTGAGCTCTAAATTAGTCGAGTATATATATATATACTTGGAATAAGAAAGAGAGATATAATTTTTAAATATTTTCAATAACTTTATATTCAAATCATTAGTTTTTAATATATTTTAAATATACTTTATATTAATAAATATTGAATGAACTAGCTCACGTTCTAAAGAGTCAAGTTATTAATATTGGCTCAAACTTAGCTCATAAGCTCGTTGAGCTCATTTCGCTAGCTATTTATTGAGTTGAGCTTGAGCCAACTTGTGAGCCGACTTGACTCAATTGCAACCCTAAACATCAATTTTCTTAGCCCAAGCTCATATACTGGTTGGCTCAGTTTGGGTCGGCTAAAAATAAAAGGAAGAATGCGCAAAAGCACCTATGGCTCAATCCCAATGAATAATCACAAGTCAAAGTTATAGTAATCAGTTTAGCATATGCTTAATCTATCAAAAAATAGCAAAAAAAAAAAACATAATAATAATAGGTTGAACAAACACTAATCAGAGATTAATGCATTTTATTTTATTTTTTAATTTGGCTTTTATATAACTAAGAGATAAATTTGATTTATTTAAAAAATATACTAAATGCATTTTTCTTATGGAAACCTCTCTACCCAATCCTACTAAAATCATTGTAATTCAATTATCTCCTCCCAACCCTAAAAAACTCAATTTCTCATAACCAATCAAACAATAAGAATATATTTCCTCAAAAAAAAACAAAAGAAGGAAGATTATCTCATTTCAATAACATGTTCACTTTCAATTCCTCCCTTTAAATTCTCAGTTCTTTCTGTTTTCCAACCTTGGTATTATTTGCTAATGCATTGAACTCTATTATAAGAGGAAAAAGTGGTCTAATCAAACCTTCACTTGACTAGGATACAAACAATTTCATAAATATTCTCAATCTCTTTTAAAAACACCTCCTCAAGCCCCCATCATGAAGCTTCATATCATCATCATTACTTATGTTTCATTTGAGATGACTTTCTTAATGATTTCTAATGCAGCTTTTTAGTACAATAATTTTCAGTTCAAGAAATTTTTATACTAAGAAATTTTGTAAAAATAAAAAATAAAATAGTCATCCCAAGGGAAATCTTAGGTTTCGTTTGGGGATAGATTTTTTATTGCTTCATAAAATAAATTTTTAATAATTTTTGTACTAAAAAAATTACTTTATAAATCAGTAAAAAAACCTTCCCAAACGAAACCTTAGTCATATACTTTTCTTCAAATTATCACCATAGATATTTAGGGATAGATTTTTTTATTCTTTCTAAAATGACTTTTTAGTAGAAAATTTTTGTATTAAAAACCCATTTTAGAAAGCAACAAAAAAATTATCCTAACCAAATCTTTGAGTGTTTAAAATAACATTATTATCACCCCAAATAAATCCTTAATTAATTGAAAGAGAGTTCTATCTCTATACTTAATTTCTTTTGCCACAAAAGATTATATACTTTTTGAGTCACATACTACATAATTTATTGCTCATCATTGAGGAAAACAAAAACTATCTACCCTTATGCACTTTTTCTAGGTCACAGAGCTTTCATGATCAATTTATTGTAAAAGCTTAATTTAATTAGCTAAAAGAAAACAAAATGATTTTTATTATAAGAATACCAATTCAAGAAACTAAATCTTATAAATTTACTAAGAGCAAATTTGAATGCTTGAATTTATAAAATGCACTTTGAATAATAATATATTTTATTAGATTCATTATTTAGTGAAATGCAATCAGAACCTATTGTTGTCTACGAACAATTATTAGGTCAGGTGACCTGACGTAGCTCTACGTTCGGACGCAAATAATATGTCGTCACGTGGTCTTACTCAATACCGCGTGGCCCGACGACTTGACCCAGGATTGCTATATTCGCATTTTGCTCGGTATTGCTCTAGGTATTGCTTGGCAATAATGAAAAATATCGCTCTGTGAAGACCAATACCAAGAAATACCGACCAATACTGAGAAAAACTCAGTATTGCTCGATATTTCTCGATATTGCTCGGAATTGGTCTTCACAGAATTGTATTTCTCATTATTGCCGAGCAAAATCGACCAATACCGAGCAAATACCGAGCAATACCGAGCAACATGCGAACATAGCAATCTCGTCTCCGTTCCGGGTCGGGGTTGTCGGGCCGCGCGGTAAATAGTGAGAACATGTGGCACTATTTTACTTGCATCCGAACGTAGAGCTACGCCAAGTGACCGGACCAAATAAAAGTTCGTTGTCCACAAGTATCATAAATCTTGTAAAAATTTTGATTTTTCTATCTGAGAAAATTAAATCATCATTTTTTAGAAAAGAATTGAGAATATTTATTAAATTTAAATTTAATTGTGATAATTTAAATAAATTTCATCATAATTTCTAACCCAAGCAAACAAATGATCCCATAAATAAAATGGAGTTTGATGATCTATACTGTTGGATATATTCATGAAGAAATTTCAATTATCTTTAGAACAAAAAAGGAAATAAAAAAACTGAATGCAGAAAAATCCAAACATTCATGGAAACTGAAGGAAAAAAAAAAGTATAAAAAAGAAACTATGAGAGTAACAGACTATGAACAGCCAATGAAAGAATTATTAACAGTTTAATCACCTGTTCATCCATAGGTGAACTTAAAGCCATAATCCTGATGAGTGCAACCTGCAAAAAAAGAGAACAAACTTTTAGATTGATCAGAATAGTAACTAATCAGAGAAGGAAAAAAATTTAAGATCAAAATATTCTGATCAAATTATTTATTATGATCAACTTTAACACAAATAAATTTTATGATTAGCTACTAAGAATATTCCAATTCAATTTCCTTCCACAGAAAAAAGTAAATAATAAAGCTTTATGACAACAGAGACTTCAGCACGACAGCGGATGTGATGACATTTTGAGCTCGGATTGAGCTCGGATTGAGCTCGACAAGCAGCTCGACTTGGGACGAGTCGAGCTCAAGCTTGGTTTTTGAGCTAGACTCGAGTTTGAGCTTGAGCTCGAGCTCAGTATCTGGCAGTCGAGCTCGACTCGAATAACCCTTAGCTCGAGCTCTCGAGCTCGACTCGGCTCGTTTGCACCCCTAAACACAATGATAGTCTAAACAATCAAACTGTTTGTCTAAAGCTATGAAGGTTTGTTGTATGGAAAAAAAAGTATTGAAGTCATTAGAAGATGTAAAAAAAGCTAAATGCAACATAAAGCCGTAAACTTTTTAAAAATTCAGATTCGTACGCTGCTCATTGCATATTGAATTCTTTCATTGTGTCAGGACTGCAGATGATGTCAAAAGTCTTTCTATCCAAGCTGTCCTTTAAAATGGATATTTGTCCTTCTTTGTAGAGTATATCTTCATCGAGCAATTCAATCTTCTTGTTTAGAGATTTAAGCTCCCAATCCATTATCGTGTTGTTCTCCCTTAGCTGCTTCATCTCTTCCCAAATGTGATCCCTCTCCTCAGACACATTTGTCAAATTGCTCCTCGTAGCAGTCAAGTCTCTTGTGCATTGTTGAAGATCTTGCTGCAGCAGCAGGAAGTTTTCATCTTTCTTCTGCATCTGTATTCATCACCAATTTTTTACTTTAGCTTTACCAAAAGATTCTTCATGCTTAGATAGGCAATTAATTTTGTACATCAAAAGATAATCTCTTTTATACAATTAAGCAGAAGAAAAACAAATTTGAAAATAACAACAAAAGCAGCACAAGATTGTTTGAGTAATTGAAATATTTGGTGATATCTATTGATAAATGCAACTCCTTTCTAACATTTAGTAATTTCAACTCAGTTTGAAACTATAGATTCCTGGGGCAAATATATAGCTTAATCATGATTGAAATAAATTTTATGTTCCAAGAAATCAATGAGTTTTTTCACCTGGATCTCTAAATCCCTTTTCTTGTGGTTGAGGCAGGAGACTTCATCCTTCAGCGTCTGGATATCAGTGCTAAGCTGATCACATTTCCTAATTGAAGATGTCAAATCTCTTTGTAATTGCTCAATTTCCAGTTCTCTGGAACAAATCTTTTCTCTCAATAGTCTAGTTAATATAGCTTCAGCCTTTAGTTCCACTTCCATGTCATCCTGAAGAAATTATTGGCAAACCTCAATCCTATCAACAGAAATCAAAAAATTTGCAAAGGGCAAGCTAGAATGCAGAATATACAACGAAGTACATTTATTTAGCTGTTGGTAAAATGTTGAAATAATGTAGGTTATCACTAATTAAGAGATCTAGATTTGGATCAGAGAAACAGAATGAGACTTAACTATTGAAAATAATCTGACCAAGAAGTGCTATAGACTAAAAGCTAACAAATACTACTAGTAAAAAATTTTGTATATCCAAAGATAGCAAGTGAAGGTACATCATCAAAAGGTTAATTTAATTTGAGATTAGTAATAATAGCAGATTACAGGTATTATAATTATTTCTTAAACAATTAGGTAATCTTCAAAGCTTAACTCTGAACAAGAGATTATTATGGCCAATCTTACCTTCATTTTAGAAAATAAATCTTACCTCAGATCCGTGGCCCTTCTGATGCTTTGATGAATTAATTTCTGCATTCTGACATACGCATTTTGATGCTTGGATGCTTGATTTTTCCTCAAGTGTTGTTGACACTACTTTCAAACTTCTTCTAAAACTTCCTATTGCTCTTGTTAAATTCTGATGCTTGTAAGTCAAATCGACAACACAATATTTATCAGTATCACAATTAGCATTTTCACGATTCTCAGAGCGCCTGCATGAAATAAAATCTAGCAACTGACCACAAAAGTGGCTACTTTCATCAAGTAATGACATACTCTGCTTCTTTAGGCATTCTAACCATGCATGAAGCTCTACATTAAGCCTTACCAACGAGAGGCCATATCTATTTTCAGTTCCTTGTAAGCGGTTTAGAAGACAGATATTCTCATGCCGCAGAGATTCTGTTTCAGTTCTGCAACATTCCAGCTCCCTCCTGAGCTTCTGCTCGACACCAGTCAACCGCATTTTCTCTGTCTGTAGCTGAATAACATCAGCATCTCCCTCTAAGAATTTCTTTTCAAGATCAGTACTATAACTCTGTCTAAGGCCACTGATTGTTTTGTCTTGTTCATTACATGTTCTTTGTAATCTACCAAGCAACTTCTGCAACTCCATGTTCTCCCTTTCAATCTCCTTGGAGCTCATTTTAACATGGTCACGTTGTTCCTCTGCCCCATTGCAACGCTCCTGCAACTCCAACAATGCTTGACGAAGATTGAGGTTTTCTGCTTTTAGTTCATCTTGGCTTGCTCTGCTCTCATTCAACTGCCTCTCTATATTCACAACACTATTTCTGATCTCCAGTTCACTCCCTTGAAAGGAAAAATTTTCTCTTTGAAGGGATACATTCTGCTCTGCTAGTTCTCTTACCCTCTCACGCAGCCTCTGTTCCTCAGCCTGGAATTTAGAACGGTTTAATGACCATTCATTTGACCTTCTATCAAGCTCATTCTCCAAGCTCAACTTCAGTTCATTCTTTTCATTCTCCAGCCTCCTTGTTCGGGTATTCAGCTCCAACTTTGACTGCTTCAAACGTTCATTTACAAAAGACCTCTCTGCAAGTCGGCTTCTTATTTGTGAAGAAAGTTCAATAGCCAAATGTTTCCTATCTTCTTTGATCTTCATTATTTTCTGAAGCAATTCTCCATAACAAAGCTTCTCAGTCTCGGGATCCTCTTCGGTCAATAAATCGTATCTTTCCTCCAACTCTTTCAATTTTTTAAGCAAATCTTCATTGCTTACATGCTCTTGAAGCTTAGAGTTTACAATCTCATCATGCTCAGAGGTCTTAGCCCCTCTCCTTGAGAAACAAACCGTCTTGTGGTCAAAAGGTTCATACAACAAATTACCATTAAACTTTTTCTCAAGCAGAATAAGATCAAAGGAGCACCCTTGAGCTGTGCTATCTGGGTTCCCATCTGACAAGTCCTCGGAAATGTCTTCAACTGGAGCATTTATTCTAGAGTCGCATTCCAGATTGCCAGAAATAGATTTCCCAAGCAATGCACATGTGCTCTCAATGTTTTTTCCCAAGTATTTATGTTGGAATACAGGATTGATATCATCACTTGTCCATTCTCTGTTAGAGAGGTCAGGACGCTTATCTCTGATCTCCCGAAATGAGTATGATCGATGATTCTCTCTATTATAATGAGGTGACATTGGTGCTGTACACAAAGCTCTTGGTGGCCTTCCTATGGTAGGAATTTTATTGCTTTCAACCAAATTACCATCTTCTTCAGTTTCAGAAGCACATTTTTTAGAATCTTTTTGTACTTTGGTAATCTTATGTTCTCCATCAATGTAGAGGTCAAGAATATTGTTCTGGGAAGAAATCTTGGATGTGCGAGTTGTTCTACATTTTAGAGGGATTGGGGTACTGCAAGCTGAGTTGGAATCTGATGAATTTTGATGAACACCAAAGGAACCAGGAGAACGTGGTTTCTCAATAGCATTGAACAGAAGATTCTCTCTTCCTGCTCTTCCATATCTATCTGGAGTGAAGGAGCCGTGGCTGCTGTAAGAATAAAGAATCCATTGTAAGAGAAAGTTCAAGTCCTCTGAATCTGCTTCTTCATAATAAAAAAACTTATTCTAACAAGAAATATTTGGCGCATGGAAGAAGCATGAGTTTTTGTTACTGATTTTAGAGGAAATATATAAATAGATTTCTTTATTGAGAAAGAAATTACAGAGAAATCACCATATAAAAACTTAAACACTCGAAGCATGAAACACAAAAAATAGTTCACCAGTATAACCGCTCTTACACTTAAAAAACATGAAATACTCTGTCAATAAGAGCGCATGGAGAGCCGATATATTTATTATACATCCATCCATGGATAAAAGTTAGAAACAAAAAACGAGCGAAAAGGACTTCTGCTGAAGAAAGAAAAGATGAACAAAAAAGAATGTAGATTTTAGAGGATAATGGGGCTCACTTTAGAGGATATCGTCCCACATGTTGATCATTATCACGGCAGGAAGTCATTCTGCTCTGATCACTTGAAGAACTAAAACTTCCCTCATTCAAATGATTGCAAATAGCTGCAGATGTAAGAGACAGGCTCCTTCGTAGATACGGATTAGATGAACTATCATCTTCCAAATTTTGATTTCGCGGCTTGAGAACACAATCTTCTGGAGTCTGAAAACCATCAAGAATCCTCTCCTGAGTTGAAGTTTTAGAATTGATCTCTTCAGTTGCCCGTGAACTGACCTTCTTCCTGCTCTTGTTCAGTTCTGAAGGAGCAAGTTTGTCGTTTCCACTACTATATGAAGATCTGAAAGAAAAGAACTTCCTCATCCTTGACTTCTTGTATAAATTTATTAAACCATCAAGATGTTGAGCTCACAAGCTACTAAAATTCTTTCATGAATTCAAACTTCAAGAAAGCTGCCATCAACCTGATGATTTATAAATTCTAGCTTAAGACACTGAAGAACAAGATAAACAGTTAACAAAAAAGAAACCATACAGCATGCCGTTATATTAGAAAGCTTGGAAACAATATAAGTCAACAATACAAGGAAAAAAATGATCATATACCCGAAGCGTGATGGAAAGCCATCGCAATCAACAAGGTTAAGCAAATGTGCGGGCAGGTTCAACATCCAAGAAAAAAGTCCATATAAAGAAATTAATGTATTTTAAAGGTTGTCCAAGCCATTTGCATTTTATGGTGTTTCTACCTCTTTTCTTGCAACTAACTCTCACCACTTCAGTGATGCAGAACCTAATTGTATTAATATGCTACATGTAATTATTGGGAAGTAAAACCACACACCAAAAAACAAACAAGAAAAAGAGTATGTAGAGAAGAAGAAAAAACACTATGATTTAATTTTAAATCAGAAAAAAAAAAAACCATGAAGTCACACCAAGAAATTCACTATAAAAATGGGAGGATATCTCTCTCTCTCACATTGTCTACTTGTTTCATTTCACTCTTACATCGTTCTACACTCAGCACTAACAAAGAGACGCATTTCAACATCAACAAAGGATGCAACCCTTCAAGTAGAATAAGAGAAACAAGAAAGAATAACTGCTCAGCGCAACTCGCAGCACATAGTGTTGGCATCTGGAACACCATCTTACTCAACTTTCTGTCCATGAGTCCACCCTGCAGCGTCGTGACGCCCAGCTCTTTGTCTCCAACTCTTGAGAGTGCAGTGCCACGATGCTATACACTAATGATGTATTTTAATCAAACAATCAAATTCTGCAAATTCTAAAAACCTCCCACATGAAACTAATTGTGATCAAATCTTCTCCTAATCTACTTGCCCTTGCCCTCAGCCTTCATGTCTCCAACTCTTGAGAGTGCAGGAGCACAAAGATGTTGGATAGGGAGCATTGCAACATTGTACTCTGCTTGGGAGTATCCAAAATATTCGATGAAGCGTTACGATGTTGTAAACGGTGGTGTTGCGGCACTAGGCACAAAATTGAGTTTTTCTATAAATATTCAAAACCATTTCCATTTCTCATTTTCACTATTAAACTATCACATAAGAGAGGAAAAGATGAGAGAAAAGGAACAGAGGATTTCGGAGGCCATAGAGTCACTGTCGAGCTAGTTAAGAAATTCATCGAGCACGAGATAGGTTCCCAATTCCCTATTTCTGATTTCAATTTCGATGTTTGTACAAAAAGTTATGAGATAAAATGTGATTTTAATGGGTTGAATAAATGTTTCACCATGTAATTTTTTATTTATTAATATATTATAGAATATCTCATTCAGATCATTTTAACTGTAAGAAATCAAATTTTCACCAGTTATTTTTATCTGTACAAATTTTTGACTACTTCATATTGAATATGATATTTTTGGCATTAGTTATAATTCATTGAAAGACTTAAAATGATGTTTTAAAGGCTACTTTTGAATGATTTTTCAAGTCACAAATGTCAAATTTTTATACAAATTATACATGTGTTACCGCTTAAAGTGTCATACATTTGACAAGTTATGCATGTTCATGTTAAATGTTACAATTACATGTCACATATGCAACTTTTGCATGTGCATATCATGTCATGGAGGATGTTCTGAAGTGAAAGATGATAAAGTGCACTATGAATAATGTTATAAAGACCCTCCCTATTTTGTTCTATTATGCTCTATTTTATTTTTGGCCTCATTTGTCTTGTGCAAATGTGGGAGGATCAAGAAATTTATAAGTGGAATCGGGCTAGGTCTCCATCTATTGTGGGCATAGTGAGTTGTCCTAGGAGGCATTAGTGAAAGTGAAGTTAAAAGCAGACATTAGTATATGTATATATCATAATTCATTTGTTGCATATTCTGTTAAATTAAATAAGTTCAAGTATAAGTGATATTATGTTAACATGCATACTTTGATATTCATGTATAGTACAAGTGTGAGTATATGTTAATATTTATAATATTCAAGTCTAAGTGGCGAGTCCCTAATAAGTTATTTTTATGCAAATTCAAGTTCAAGTTATACATATGTTGTTCTTCTAAAAATATAAGCAAATAAGCATAAGTAATCACGTGATAATATTTTCAAAGTATAAAGTCATTTTCTGTCATTCCATAAAGGTTATTTAAACTTTTTATTTGTATACAGCAAATATGGATACTAATTTTGTAATATGATTTTTGGTATAGCCTATTGAGCATCTTGTTGCTCACTCTGTAAAGTATCTATTATTTTAAGAAAAAGAAAAGAATCGGCTGAGTAGGAGTTGATCATATCATAGTTGTCAGGTGCTAACATAGTTTAATGTATTTTTTATTGCCCAATTTTTAATTTAAATATTTTAATGTTTCACGAATATTTTAGAATATTGTAAGTAATTATTTTGGAAGAAATAAAAAGTTGTGATTTTTGTGTATTTCATTTTATTACAATTTTGGATTTTTAGTGGATTTAGTGTATGTGAAAATTGAAGATGAGGTAATTATGTTCAAGTTTTAATTCTTTCATTAGGTTATGGGGCATGACAAAAGCTCTCTAAATTTTGTAAGAGCTCTACAACCCCACTTAAGACATCCCATTATCACTTCCAAGTTCCAAATCATTTCCCTAATTTTCATTGAGCCAATACCCTTCCACCATAAGCCTAAATCCTAAGTAGTCAATTAGGCCATATTAGGATTTTTTGGGACCTAATCAATTCTAAATTCCCAAAAATTATTTATATCTTTCCAAAATTTTGTGAAACTTTCCAAACAATACAATTACCACTAACTTTTGCAAGTAATCTCATGATTTATTTTATGAGTATTCAAGGATCTATTATTTGAAGTCAGCCTCATGATGTCTGAAATTTGTCCCAAACCCTAGGACGACCCTTATGGCTCTCCAAACCTTCAATCCACCATCAAATTAAATACACCTATAAATTCCTCATCTATATAAGTCTCTTGTGAAGGGTTATGAACCAACTTGACCCTCACCAAGTGGCATCTCCATCAAGCTACACCAATAGGCCCAATTATATTACAATCATGGTCGGAGCTCATATATTCCCCAATGGCTAATACTCTTGAATAATGAATCATAAGGTAAGCTCGATAGGACATAAAATCCTCTGTTAACAAAGATCACTTGAATTTATCACCTTAGACAAACATTCACCCCAAATCTATAAGGTGTTCTTAAATGAAACAACTCATAAATGTCAAAAAGAATCTTTAGTCAGATTGGGTCAGCTACCTTCTCTGCCTAAATAAATTAGGGATCATGACAACCCAAGATGACAGAATCATAAAATTTTGATCAGGTTTGTCATCATTTCCCCAACCACCCACTTTAAGTACATGGTGATATATTTAAAATATGATAATAAATTCATTATTATTACATGCCAGGTATTTAATATCTACCTAATGACTAACCATAATCGAAAGTATTATGGCATCATTAGACGGGATAATTAACTATAGGGGAAAGCGCTTATGGGGAAACTTGAACTCAGATCTTAAAGTCATCATAAAATGAGGGCGAAGTCTATGGGTACTGCATATGTTTAATTTAATATGCTTTCTGAAAATTTAACCTGGAGCATGTCTGTTAAAACTCTCTCAAAACGTGGCGAGGCAGGGGGCACAAATTTTCGAAGCACGCACATGCACATGACTAGCTATAACTATGTCTCAAGAGTGATCATCAACAAAAAGAAATAAAAAAAATCTTAATTCTAATGGGTAACAACAAGACTCAATCCGCAAATATTAAAATTAACTTACTCAAATGTAAGGCAATTTAGACTCGACATAGAGAATAGAAACGAAACTCGATGATATTTATCTAGCTCGCAGGCATTATATTCAAATTTGAATAGAGAGGAGGATATGGGAACAAACTCCATAAACTTTTATCATGGAATGACCAAAATAGAAATGTCATTGTTACAGAGTGATGGTAAAAGAGAAGACAGGAGAGACAAAGTGCCAAGTAGTAAATAACACTAGTGAAAGAGCATTGTAGTGGAATTTTATAAGCTTTTATGAGATGTTGAATGGTTTTAATGTTATATGAAGTTGTATGAAGTATTTTGGATTCAGTAAAGATTTCCTATTTTATATTTTCTTTATTTTTTTCTTATGTTTCTAGCTATCTTTTTTTGTGACTTATAAATTTTCCCTGATATTTGCTGAATTTTCCTATTGTTTGTTGAAATTCCCTGCAGTGTTTTCCCATTTTTGTTGTCTTCTCGTATTCTTGCTTCTTGTTTGGTCTTCCCTAAGTGGTTGTTTTATCTTCTCATATTAGATGTTGGTCTTCCCCATGCTGGACTTCGGTTTTCCCTCCTAGCTCTTTGTTTCCCCAGCTACTCCTTCGATTTCCTTGTTTTCTTTATTTGTTGCCTACTCATTTTCCCTGCAGTAGCAATGGTTTTCCCATTTGCTAAAACTTATGATGGATACTTTATTTCCTAATTAATTGGGCTGATTTGGAAGAGTTTTGTGACTGTTTTGGAAGGCATCCATTGGCTATTTGGGTGGCAAATTTAAGTGAGCATTTAATATCATTTCCCTTTTTTTCTATATAAGGTGGTTCATTTCTTTGTTGAAAAAGAGAGTGATATGTGATGAATATTTGGGGCGTGAAACCTGCGGGTTTGTCATAGCTTGCGAGCTATCCTCTTCTACCTTCATTTTTATATTTCGTTTCGGACTTTTATAGTTTTATCTATTCTTCTCTCCACGGTTCTCATTCCACTTGTATCTTTCTTCTCGAAACTTTGATTAGTTGTAGGTTATGTTGTGTCCAGGTGTTTATTTCAAGTTGTAAGTAGTGTTATTTTTTTTAAAAGTTGAAAATGGTGTCATGCCTTATAAGTTGTAAGGTGTTATTATGTTCTAAGGCTATGTTTGTTTTGTGAATTGTATATGTGTTGTATGTTCTATTATAAGTGTTATTTTGTCTTGTTTTATTGTTGTGTTTGTTTAAGTTAT